AAACCCCCTGTGAGGTTTCCTTCCCTGCTGAGCCTGGATGGAGCCTCGAATGCACTGCTTGGAGAGAGCAGCAACAAACGGGTTATTGTTTCCCTGTCCAATTTCTTCAACAGGAAACTGTGTTTAAAAACACCGTTTCTGAAAAAAAAAAAGGTTTGCTTGACAGTCTTTTCTGCAGTCTGTGCTTCTTCCCATTTCTCTGCTGGAGGCAGCACTCTGCTTGTATTGGTTTTTTTTTTCCTGATGCAGGGGGTTAACACCACTAATTTCCTAATGCCACTGTTTTCCTCATACCCAGTGGTTTCTTGCATTTAGGACCCTGAATTTCACCCCTTCGTGGGTTACATCAGCCAGGACATGGATTATCCAGCTCCTACAAACACAGTTAAAGTCAAAGCCATAGAGCACAGGGAGATTAAAGGAAAAAAGGCACAAAGAAGAAGCTCCAAGGGTTAGGGGATGTTGAGCTGAAAAATGTTCCATCAGGTTGTGCTCTGGCTGTGCTGGAGCTGCCTGGGGCAGCTTGGGGAGAGGGTGAATGAGGTGCCCAGGAAGGAGGCTGGGTGCCAGCTGGGCAGTGTGACCCACTGGCAGCTCTTTCCAAGGGTTCTCAGCAAAGAAACGCTGGAAAAGCCCTGGACATTGGTGTGCCAGCACGGGGAAACCTTCCTGGAGGAGAGGATGTGTCGTGACTGGGGTAGCAAGGAGGAGGCAGAGGGGAGGACTGAGCTGAACTTGGGGTTTGCTTTGTGAGGGGGTTGCTCAGTGTTCCCTCTCCATGGGAAAGCTTCCAGGCTGCACAAAAACCTTGTGTGGATTAAAGGCATCCCCACTTTTTGGGGTCAGGCTGCTGTTCCAGGTACCAACAGACCAGGAAAGGAGCTGTGTGTGACCAGATGCTGCATGAGGATGCACCATAAACAGCTTTGCAGCCAAGAGGTGCCATTTCCAGACTAAAAAAACCCAAAATAAGCTCCCAAGGAGTTCAATATTCACCTCACAGTGCTGGTCCTTTGGGTGTCAGGGTCATGGTGGGGACTGGAGACATTCTGAATATTCCCAGTGGAGGGTTTGGTTCTCACTGGAAACTCTCACATGTGTGCTGTCAAGGACTTTTGCAGCACTCTAAGGCAGATTTAATGAAGGGCAGAGAGAGAGTGAGCACCTTGTCAGCCATCCCATGCTGTGTGGAGGAAGGTCTGCTTGCAAATCCCAATTCCTCAGCTCTAATTACAGGAATGGGTGGCTTTTCCCTTCTCGGGCTGAAAAAAAAATTGGCCCAAAACCCTGAGAAACCACAACACAAATGTCTGACGCTGTTCCACATGGTCCTCAGTGAACAAAAAAAACCTCTTGAAATCAGCCCTTGCCTCCCAAAATAGGCAGCACCACTTCAAAAGGGAAGAGAGGGAAGGGGAAAAATCCCAAACCCAAGGCTTCAGGGGCTGAGAGCACTTGCAGTCTCGGAGTTTCTATAAGTGTGTTGTGGTGCCTGCCAGCCCAGCCAGGGTTTGCTCTGAGATAAATCTGGATTTGCCTGGGGAGGGGGTGGTCCCACAGGGATGCTCCCAGCATGATCAGCAGCTGCCTCCTGTGATGGAGAGCTTTGTTGCCATCACTCCTTCTCCATCCTCTATTTTTATTATTTTATCTGGGAGTATTACCCTGAGCTTGATGCCAGTCTGGAGGTCATGGAGAGGTTTCTTGCAAGGAAACCTGGTCTGGTGTGGGCTGAGCACAACCCTGGCTGCTCAGAGCCTTGGTGGCTGAGCAAAGATGCAGCAGCAGCCCACTCATTACAGGGAAAGCCATGACCTGCTCCTAGCCCTGTCCCACTGGACCAGGCAGTGCCTGTGTGGAGTCTTGCAGCACCTAAAGGGCAGGAAAACACTTCTAAAGCAGAAGTGGGGCATGCTTACAAGCTGTAGGGGATCTGTGTGCCAGCGTGGGATGCCCTTTGGAGTGGTGCTTTCCCCTCTTTATTTGCCCAGCTCACAGCTCACAGAGAAGCAGCCGTGCCCACCCACGTCCTGGGAGCTTATCTTGCCCCAGAATAACATTTTAGATTTCCTTTTTAAACTAAACCTTATTATTTTTGTAGTAAAAGAAAAGGAGGCTTGAGTGTAAGGTGATAAACTCACACTTGGTTTCCTTCTGCTGAAGTTAAAGCCCACTTGAACAATTTGTTTTAGCCAGGAGCAGCCCTGGATTCACCTTGGACCATCCAAAAAGCACACAGGATGGTCAGGTTCAGGTCAGCACCTACAATAAACTGATGCTTGGGAAATAATTAGCTACACCCTCTTATTTCAAGAAACTGAGGGCGTTACCACCAGCAGCATTAATAAATAGTATTAATAGATATAATAAATTGGGCATTTATTAACCCTCCTGGGGGATTACAGTGTAAAAGAGGGGTGCCATCCCAGGGTTCTCAGCACGATGGAAATGGATAAGAGGGTTTGCAAGAAACCACATTATCACCAATGTGTGTTACAGCCAGAAAGCAGACCCTAAAAAAGGGCCTAACAAAGTTAGGCCAGTGCTAAGAGCCCTTAAACCATCTCAGTCTGGCCCCCAGAGTGGCTGGGGTGGTTTCAGAGCTGGGGATTTGCAGCCTCCTTTGCAGAGGGATTATCCCTGCTGCATCTCAGGGGCTTGTGTGAACTGACTCACAGTTCAGGAAAAGTCTGGCTTAGTAAAACGTGTTCTCTTGGATCCAGCACTGCCTTATCTCGGGGAAAGAAGTGGAACTGATTTTTATCTCTTGCACTGGATGGTTTCTAATTGTCCCTGGCCATCCTTTGGAGTTCATTATTTCTCCTTCAGCCGACACTGCCTTCTAATTAGGGGACATGAAATGAAGATGGAAGAGCAGCAGTTTGCAGGGGCATTGCTGCTGGGGAAGGAATCTGGGCTGGATTTATGCCAAAAATACTCTTGTGTGCAGGATTTTGGTGGGGAGAGGGTGGTGTGAGCACTGCTGGGTCCCAGTGTCTGCCCAAACCCTGTAAGAGCAGGAATAGCAGAGCAGCCTTTGCCTCCTGAGAGGGCACAATTAGCTCCAGTCCTCCTTGTCCCTTCTCCTGCATCTCTCCTTCATCTAAGGGGCACAAGCACTTCCTAAAACAGAGTTTTTCCTACACGAAATTCAGGGTGGATTCTCTCCCCATGGCAGAGAAGGGCTCTGGGTGATGCTGAGCCAATGCTCAGCCCTGGTGATGCATTTTAATCAATTTATCCATTTTTTTTCCCTATAATTCTCCCTATATTTGGGGGGTTTAAAATCCTAAATATATTTTTCTCCTGGGAGGGTGATGTGGCATCTGCAGATGCTGTTTTAGGGTGTACAGTTGCAAAGCCAAGAGCTGAAAAAGCTTGGCCAAGACCTTCTTAAATCCATCTATTTCCCCATCCAGATGCATCACATCTCAGCTTCAGGAAGGATAACACTGCTCTGGAGGCAATCTCAGGATCTCATTGACATCCTTTTCTGCCAAGGGAATTCTGGAAGATGTTTGTATAGTTTTTAAATGGGAAGGGAACAAATTCTTCCCCATAAAGCCACCCCAGTGCTTCCCTGCAGAGCGTGGTGTCAGTGTTACATGTTGGCACAAGAAAACCCTTTCAGAAGCAGGAATTATTTAAACATTACAGAAATCCACAGGTTTTTTTTGGCCTCATCCAGCAGCTGCCTGTGGTACCAGCTGCTTTTTGCAGGTGGTGAATAAATGCAAATGTGCTCTGGTGTTTCTCTCTCCCCTCCTTTTGTAACCCCACTTCTGCCTCATTTTCATCCCTCTCCTGGTCAGCAAAAGGGCTTTGATGGTGGGTTTTCCCCCAGGCTTGAGCTGGGAATTAAGCCTGGCTTAACCTTTGCAGCACAGTGCACCTGGCCGGGGGTTTTCCACCAAGACTCGTTTATATTAAATAATAACATGGAGAGGAGTCTGAGTGGTTTTGGTGAACTGCTGTAAATGCTAAAAAAGGGATTAAGGAGCTTTAGGGCTTTGGTACTTTAGCTGGAAAAGCCATGAGAACAATGAATTTCCCCCAGGTTTTGTACAGTTTAAAAATTCGGTTTGGAAAGAAAAATTGAAAAGTTTTTGCTTCTGTTTCTCGTAGGCTGAAAGGTCATTCTAACCCCTCTGCCCTCAGATTTTCCTGGAGCAGGGAAATTTTCCCTGGTTTGCATCCTAAATCTGTACATTAAATTATATACACTGTGTTTATGGTTAAACCAGTAGTTTAGTGACTCTGAGTGATGGAATTTGAATTTTGTTAAGCAAACAGAACAATCTTTTAATACTTTTTTCAGTACTTAAAACACAGATAGTCCTTGGAAGTGTTTTAAGGGCAGGTTGGACAGGGCTTGGAGCAACCTGCTCTAGTGGTAGGTGTCCCTGCTCATGGCAGGGGGTTGGAATGAGATCTGTAGGATCCTTTCCAACACAAACCATCCCATGATCCTGTGATTTTAGCAGGACTCAACAAGGCTGGTGCATTCCTATGGATGAGAAGTACCCTTGCAGTGATTTTGGGGAGAAGTGTAAATGCTTCAGAGCACAGGCCAGGTCCTGATGCCTGGAAACCCAAAGGGAGAGACAGAGATGTTTCCCTTGGATCCCTATGGGGACCTCCCCATCCTGGGGATTTTTACACTCCAGAACTGCTCAGTTGATGGTTTTTTTCCCTAGAGATGGAACCCACACACCACCTTCCCTTGAGCAGCCCAGCGTGGCTCCTGTGACCCCTCTCCTTGCAGGTACTCCCACCCTTTTTGCTTCCCAGGAGGCAAAGCAGAGAGCTCAGGGTAGGGCTCAGGGGCACTGCAAAGCCATCAGCCAGGCACCATGGCCAACCCACCACCACCACACATTTTATAATTTCATTTGATTTTTTTTTTTTTATTATTTTATTTTTTCTTTTTTTTTGGGGGACTCTGCTGCATCCCGGGCCGCGAGGGGGGAATAACCTCTTTGATTTTATTTTTTTTTCAGTTCTCTCAGGCCAGACACACCACAGCCCTTTGAAACGCTCTGTGTCCCTTACCCCACCCATGAATGTGCCAAACCAACCTCTAGGACATGGATGGATGTCTCATGAGGACTTACGAGCTAGAGGACCCCAGTGCATCCCTTCTGACCATGCCCCCCTGTCTCCACAAAGCAGTGTAGCCTCTTCGGGAAGTGGTGGGAGTGAACATTTAGAAGATCAGCCTTCCGCTCGTAACACATTCCAGGAGGAAGGGAGTGGGATGAAAGGTGAGTGACAAACCAGACCCTGACCCAAACGGGGCCTTCCCAGCCTTTTCTTCCCGCCTTAGGAATTGAGGTTTAGGGGAACGTGTTGGGTTTTCTTTCAAGTAGCAGCTGGTCCCGATCTGACGTCTTGCACTTGGGTGCCAGTGGGCTGGTTTTTGCCCCAAAATCCTGTGAGCTGCCAGCTTTCCAAAAAGCTGGATTTTTTTTCCATAGCCTGTGGCTTTTGGCTGCAAGTGGTGCTCTTTTTTCTCTTTCTTTTTTTTTTTTTTTTTCCTTTTTTTACGATGGTGAAAAGTAGCTCAGAGCAAGTTTAGCAAGCCACGTGTGATTTACCATTGCAGTGTTTGGTACCCACCAAGTATTTGGGGAAGTTTTGGCTTGGGATACTTGTTTGCAGTGAATTTAACCTGTGTGTTTCGGTTGGTTTTGCCATTATACCTACATTTCACGGAGATTTTGGCAATAAATATAGGTGGTCCTGGTGGTAAAGAAGGCAGAAATTAACCTCGCTTGCTGCAGTCAAAGATAGAGAGCAAACTTCAGGCTGAGGAGGAATAAATAGGTAAAAACTGGGCAGACACACGGGCTGTGTGTTCCTGGGAACGGACTGAAAATGATCCTGCAGCTCTCAGACTGATTGAAACAACTCCAATTTGCATTAATGCAAAGCAGCTCGATTGTTTACAAACCAGTGGTGTATCAGAATAGGGAAATAATTGTATTTTTTAACAGTCACAGGGTCTGATTTTAGTCTAATTACAGACAAATTGAGATATGGATAAATCTGTGTGATGTGGGACTGCATTTGGCTTGGCTCTGGATGGCTTTGATGTGCACGAAATAAATGCATGAAAAACCCCTCATGGTTCCAAGGAATGTAACAGAGGCAGGTCGGATCCTGCAGTCAGTCTGGCCAGGGAGAACTTTTTGGGAGCAAGGATTTTTTGGGGGAAGGCTGTTTAAAACTACATTTCTCCAGGTTTCTGCCAAAGGAGCTTGGGGAGGAGACCATGGGGAGCCTGGCTCCCTGTGATCCACAGCTGCAGCTCTGGGATCTGCGTGGATGGAAACTTCCCAGTGCTGTGCAATCAACCTGTGTGGCCAAATCCACAAAACCCAGAGGCTGATCAATTAAAAAATACCCACATATTAACACATCTCCTTGCTGGGATATGTCCACCCTTCCTCGGGCTGTAACTTCCCACACTTCCAAGCATGATTCCCCCATTGCTGACTCAGCCAAATGGTTTTGGTCCCCCTGTTCAGGGACGTGCAGAACAGATGTTCACAACCTCTGGTGTCTATGCCTGCCGTGTCCTCCCCTCTCAGCTGGGTTTTCTTCAGGCTGAACCATCCCAGTGCCTTCCCAGATGATGTTTTCTAAACTTGGGGTTGTTCCTGCTTCTCTGCGCCAGATTTTTTTTGAGAAGTCCGCATTTTATTGAAGGTGTGTTGCCCAAAACTGGCCTTGGAAGCAGAGCAGAGGCTTGTTTGCCTTCAGACAGCATTCCTGTGGCTGTGTAGCTCATCGTCCTCAAATAATAAAGCACAGTGGGCTGCATATGACCCATTGTATCCCCACAGCTTTCCTGAAAAAAAAAAAAAAAAGGAGGAGGAGGAGGAGGACTGCCCGTTCCCTGCACTCGGATCGTGCCGTTTGTTGTTCCTGCAGAACTCACAACTTGGTGCATTTTTATTGGGTTGCCTCGTATCCCATCCAGGCCGGCTGCTCTGGCTGCCAAGTCCCTTCTCTGAATTGCAGCCACGTCTCCCCGAGTGCCTGCAGGCTCCTGTGGCTGGGTGTCACCCCTGCTTCTGGTCAGCTGGTTCCTTTTTACACCCTCCGGGGCATCCAGGAGGATCCAGACCCACGGGATCTGGAATGTGAGGAGTCCGTGACAGATCCCCCATCTGCTTTGTCAGTTTATCCCTCCTAGTGTCACCTATTTCTGTCCTTTCTGTTTATCTTTATGCTCTCATGTCTCCCGTTTATTTCCTTTCCATCTCTTCATGCTGAAGGGAAAATGGCCTTTGCCTTTATCTTAGCTCCTGTTTTTTCCAGGGGAAGATATGGACACCTGGTTCTCCATGGAGCCTGTCTGTTTGTCTGTCTGTCTGTCCCTTACCATGTCCCTGCCCATGGCAGGGGGTTGGAATTAAATAATCTTTAAGGTCCCCTTCCAACCCACACCATTCCAGGATTCTGTGATTCCTGGGACACAGCTTGGGGAGCACCAGGAGGAAAGTCTGGGTAGAGCTGGGGGTTTCTGCTGGGAGTATATCCAAGGTGTCCTGTGTGTAATTATGGCAGGGTGAGCTGTTTTCCTTTTAAATTTCCTGACAACCGTGCCATGACTTTGCAATTAGCTCCTGGTAATTGCTGATTAAAGAGTAGCTCTGCAGGCAGGTGGTTCACCCATCCGTGGAGAGGATTGGGAAGTTTGACTTTCCAAGGACCATGGAACCACCTTGGATGTCCTTGCACCTTTTGGCTGCCTCTTCCCTGTGGGAAGGGGAAAAGCTCCACCACACACAGCACACCCTCTGTGTCCTGGGCTCCTTCTCCCCAGCCTGCTTCCAGGATTTCCATCTCTGCTGGCAGGGGGGCTCTGGGACCATCACTCTCCCCAAAATTAAGGCATGATCCTGACAGGCTGATGCAAAGGCAAAGAGCTGCTTCTGGAAAGGTTGGAGATGGGGTTTCCTGCAGGGTTCAATGTCTACATGAAGTTGCATCTCTCTTCTGGATGTATCCCTGTGGGCTTTGCCATTGACACAGACGTGGGATCAGGGAGACTTTTAATGTGCTGTCACTAGAATGGTGTGGTTTTGTATTAAAATTATATTGAGGTTTGAGCCTATGCTGGAAATGGGGCTTTTTGCTAAGAGGTTTTTATTTATTTTAAACAGAAATCAGTTTAAGAGGGTGCTGGTAGCAGAGTTTGGAACTGTTGCGTGTCAGAACTTTTGGAAAACTGTGAATTTCAGCCCATCTGTGCTCAGTAATTGCTTTTCCCCATGTTTGGTGTGGGGTTGGTCTCCTGTGCAGCACTTCAGGAATTTCATTGACACGTGAATCCTGATGTGTGTCTGGGATTTGGAGAATGTGAGCAAGACACAGCATGTTGGGATTGGATGCAGGGCGGGTTTGGGATCATCCCAGGCAGCAGGAGACTTCTGGCAGATGTGTGGATTCCTCAGGGAACCAAACCAAGGTCTGTCCTGCCCTGTCCCTTCCAGTGGTGAGGTCTTGGTTGAGGAAGAGGTCATGGACAATCCTTGGCTTGCACGTGGTACTCAGCAGCGTGGGACTTTCTGGACCCACACCATGAGATGGGAATGAGCTCCTGAGTGTCTCTCTGGTAGGGAAGGGGACAAGGACTATGGACAAGGTGTTGCTGGGAGCAGAGCACCTCAGCTGGGAGGGCTGAGGCAGAGCTCCTGTTGGGTTGTAGGTGTTAAATAAAGCAAGTCTCGATTTGGCAAAGCATTCCAAGGCTTTACAAAGGACAAGTGTCATCACAGGCCCACTGCTTGTGCTGCAGCACAGACACCTGCAGGGCCCCCCTCCTTTGTGGGATGTCACCACAGACCCCCCAAACCTGCAAAGCCCTGCATAGCTGCTTGTTGTCACATTGCCTTCTCCTTGGAGGACACCCCATCAAGGAGTCTGTGGGGTTTTGTCACAGAGGAAGGATTCCCCTCCCAGGTTGCTCGCTATGAAACCAAGTTGCTGTCAGGAAGATAAATGTATTTTTGGTACCCATCCAGCTGGGCATGGAGGTGCTACACTGCAGGTAATGACTGGGAAGGAAGAAGTCATTTCAGTCAGTGCATTTTAGGTCCCAAGTCACCCTTTGAAGCAGGGTGTGGGGCCATCTTTGATGGCACATCATTTTTACATTCCAAACCCATCTCTCTAGTTCTGTTTAAGCAGCTGGTTCCATTTTCAGCACATGCCACCATCCCTCATGCCATAAATCAGTGTCTGCCATCCACAAAACAGCCCTTTGCTTGTCCTAAGCTCCACCACTCCATGAGCTTCAGCAGTTCCCACATTCCTGGGAGAACAGCAGTGAGGAGCTTCGTGTGTGGTGGCACAATGCCAGCTTGTCACGAGCTAATTCCCAGTGGCTTTCCCACAGAAACCCAACCTCTGAGGATGTGTCCTCATCCGGGGGCTGGTTCCTTGTCCCATCCACATCCACAGCCCTGGTTCCTCACCCAAGGGCTGGTTCCTTGTCCTGTCCACATCTACATCACTGTTTCTTCACCCAGGGGCTGATTCCTTGTTCCATAGCCCTGTGTCCTCACCCAGAGGCTGGTCCCTTGTCCCATCCACATCACTGTTTCCCCATCCAGGGGCTGGTTCCTTGTCCCATCCACATCCACTGCCCCGTGTCCTCACCCAGAGACTGGTCCCTTGTCCTGTCCACATCCACATCACTGTTTCCCCATCTAGGAGCTGGTTCTTCCTCCCATAGCCCTGTGTCCTCACCCAGGGGTTGTTTCCTTGTCCCATCCACATCCACATCCCTGGTTCCCCATCCAGGGGCTGGTTCCTTGTCCCATGCACCCTGAAGCTCAGTGAGGTGTCCCCCACGTTGCTGTTGATGCTGTTTCCCGTGGCTGTGCCATTCCATGAATTGAGCAGAGCTCTCCTGTCCTTCCCTTTGTGCTCCAGATGTCCCAGCGTGGCTGAAGAGCCTCCGGCTGCACAAGTACGCCGCCCTCTTCTCCCAGATGACGTACGAGGAGATGATGGCCCTCACCGAATGCCAGCTCGAGGCACAGGTATGTCCCACGGCACTTCCAAAGCCCCTCTGTGTGTCTGGGAAGCCAAAAAAAAAAAAAGGGAAATTGGGTCTTGGTGAGTGAAAAAAAAACTTGCATTACACCTGAAAAAAACTTTGTTTCCGTGTTCAGAGTTCTGGCATGGAAGTCTCATCACTGGGAGCTGCTCTTGGGTTTTTTTTTTTCCAGTTGGGATTAAATTCAGGAGTTTCAGGGGTGCAGCCTGCAGTAGCCAGCTCCCTTAAAGTCAGCGGGGCTTTGATGGCTGACTGCCTTTGAAAATGCCATAGAAAAATGCCATAGAATCATAGAATTTTGCTGGTTGGGGGTTGGAAGTGACCTTAAAGATGATCTGGTTCCAACCCCCACTGCTCTCAGGTTCACCTCTGCATTATCCATGGGATAAAGAGGAATGGGAACACCATTGCTTTCCATGTGTGAGGTGCAGGGAGGGACAGACTAGCTGGAAATCTCTATCTTCAGCAAGTCTCTGGGGGATTTTCTATGTCCCCCACAAATCCCTGCACTCAAAAATGTAATTAATTCCTAGCAGCCCTATCTGTTTAGGAGAGGAAGGGTTTGGGTTGAGCCAGCTGCCCTGTGAAAGTGTTAACATCAAGTTTTGTCCTGTTTTTGCAGAATGTTACCAAAGGAGCGAGACACAAAATAGTCATCAGTATCCAAAAGCTAAAAGAAAGACAAAACCTGCTCAAATCTTTAGAAGGGGTAAGTCATCACAACCATTTCTGTATTTCTTGTGTCTTTAAGAAGCCAGGAATTTATTCTGGGATGAAGCACTCTTTACTTACACATATTGTGGGGATCTGATGCAGGTTTTATTTTACAGAATTCCAGAACAGTTTGGGCTGGCAGGGACCTTAAAGAGCATCCAGTTCCAGCCCTCTGCCATGGTGGGAGAGACACTTCCACTAGACCACATTGCTCAAAGCTGTGTTTTGTAGAATGGGTCCTAATGCATGTCCCACAGCTGGATGGATGTACTCTGTAGCCCTGGCCAGCTCCAGGGTGCTCAGAAAGATTTGAGTTTTCCTGGAACATCCTATGGGCACTCTGTCCCCAGATAAAACACCAGACACCCACATCAGTGCCTGAACAACATCTTGAATTCCCAAGGAGAATAAATAGAAACTTCTTTATCACTTCAACAAAAGCTTAAACCCTGCAGAAAGGGCTTTTGGGGAAGTAGCAGCACCACAGCGTAGCTGGGAGCAGCTCACCCAACCTCTCCCTATTTATTATCCCTGTATTATATTATATTTAATTGCACCATCTTCAAACAGCAACTTGCAGAGCCTCCCACTAGGGGCTTTTAAATACTTCTGTGGTGTGTTGCTATTTATTGGTGTTTTCCTTAGCTCACTGCTTCACTATTTATTTATAATATGGGCTTGTGCTCAGAGTATGGCAGGAGCTAATAAAGCCATATTTACCTCTGTTATTAATAATAACTATTAAATCCAAGGAGCTGGATGGAGCTGGCTGCAGCTCTGTGTTTTCCAGGCGATTGCACAGCCTCTTCCTCCACTCCTCCACTGGGATTTGGGAATCTGGTGTTGATTGAGTGGCACTGTGCAGGAGCTGGAGCCCAGCTCAGCTGGCACAGCCAGCCAGGCTCGCTGTAAAATACAGGAGGGAAGTGGCAGGGACTGGTTTGGAGCCCTCCAGGGGAGGCTTTGGGCTGTGGCACTGTGACCCTGTCCCCTTTGCTGGGGCTCAGAGCTGCCTGTGAGCTGCTTTCCCTGGGAGGACACGTCTTTGGTTTTCCAGGCTTCCCATCCAATTTCTGCTAAACAAGAGCATGTGTGGGACTTGGTGTTTTTGGGCAGTGTCTCGCTGCTAAATACTGCTGCTTTCTTGGAAAGAGCTGCTCCACCCCTTTCTGTTAGTTAGCAGGGCAGGATTTTCTCCCAAAAATATAGTGCCCAGCAGACTGACACCAGATCTTTGAGAGAAATGGAGCTGAGACGTCCAAGAGTGAGCTGGGAATGCAGCAGGAATTAGAATCAACAGCCATTCCAGGGCTTGCACACATCCCATGTGCCCACTTAGTGTCCCTTCCTTCAGTGCATCAGGATTCACTCCAAAAGTTGCCTCTTTCCAAGCAGTGTCCCATGAGCCAGACCATGCAGGATCCTGCAGTGAGCTGTTCTGGTCCAGGCTGCATTAAAAACAAAATGCAGTTATTTCCCATCAGCGGGACAAGGATCTGACCATAGAAATGCAGTTCTTGATCCACACCAGGAGCAAGGCTGGGGTGCACCCAAATTCTCTCCCTCCTGGCTGGATCTGCCCCAGGATCTCCAAGCTGAATGGTTTTGCTGTGGCAGTGTCAGTTCATCCTTCTGTGTCTGACCACAAACCACCTGCTCCCCTTGAAACCCTCCCATCTGTATCCAGTCCCAGAGTGGACAGAAATGTCCCCACTGCTGCCACAGGACAGCTCCTGCATCCCAGCATGGTCCTGGGCTCTGAGATGATCCCAGAGCATGAGGATGCCATGGCAAGCAGTTTTGGGGCAGAGCAGTTAGTGGGAGCCAGGCTTGAAGGCAGTGCTGGAAATGGGAAACGAGCCCGTGTTAATGTCATTCCAATGAAATAGAGCTGAAATGTTGGGATTGGAGGATTGCTGAGGAACAAACAAGGTATTTGCTGTTCTGGGCATTGAAAATGCCCAGGCTCAGTCACTTTCATGGAATTGCCATTTCCCAATGTGGAAACATTGAAGCTGGATTGTTGTTGGGTTTGGGTCCCAGTGGTTGACAGGGACACATTTATCTCTGGGGATCCAGGTCTGAACATATCCGTGGATAATCACAGTCCCTGCAGCTCTTGCCTGATAGAAGGAAAAGACCTGATGAATGGAACGTGGCTGTTGACTGTGGAAGCAGGAGCAAAGCAGGGAATTCTCGGGGGGGAGGGTCACAGGAGGGCTCTGTTTACAGCTGATTTCCCTGCAAAGACAAACCCTCTTCTCTCCCCTTGGATCCTCAGGACATCCTGGAAGGTGGCAACTTGCGTGTCCCGCTGCAGGAGCTACACCAAATGATCCTCACCCCCATCAAAGCCTACTCTTGCCAGAACTCGAGCACGGAGGAGCAGAGCCCGAGGGACGTGGACTCTCAGCACCCCTCGTCGCTGCTGGGCTCGGACAGCCAAGGCTCGGACTGCAAGGACTCCGCGGCAGCCGGGATGCAGCAGCACCACCTGCCGGGATGCGAGGGCGAGTCCGGGGGAGCTCCTCTGCCCGAGGGTGACCTGCCCGGACAGTTCACCCGAGTCATGGGCAAAGGTGAGCAGCTGTCGCTTGTCCTCGGTGTCCTGGGGAGTCGTCGCTAGGGAGGGGTTGCTTTGGGGCTGGGGTTGGGGTGTGGTGGCAGCGCCGCCTTTCCCTGAGCTCCTGCAGCTCCCAGTCGGAGGGGGGATGGGTTTTGGAGGTCCTGTCGTGCTGGGGTTAGAGGTGAGAACCCAGGCAGGTGGGGTCAGTGTCAATGTCAGTGGCCCAAGCTGCCTGTCCAAGGTCCCAGGTGGATAGCATTCATTCCAAGCCCCAGGTCCAAGGTGGAAGGCATCCTCTCCCTGCCCCAGGTTGGAGGCAGAAATCACAACTTTTCCCAAGGTCAGGAGTGGAAGGTCTCCTCTCTGTTCCCATGCAGAGCCCTGGGGTCATCCCACTGATCCAGAGGTGTTTTGAGCAGCATCCCTTGGACTTACTCTGCTTGGAGCAGGGTAGAATGGTGTGTGGGCTGGACATGAGCCATTTTGAGTGCAAATCAGTGGGTCCAAGCCCCTTTTTATGCCCCAGTTTGGATGCAGGACATCCAGAAGGCTCTGGTGCCATTCCGTGTCCAGTGCAGGATGTATGGCTTTGCATTAGGGATAACACACTGGGAGGTTACAGGAGCAAGCTGAGGTGAGGCCTGACCTCCTGTGCAATATTCAGGGCTCTTGGAGCAGATCTGTGTGAGTTTGGATGTGCCCTCACCCTTGCTGGTGGCACCTGAGGTGTCAGTGCTGGCTGCATGGAGGGAGATCTCCCTGGGGAAGAGTAAAGGGGAGTCTCATCTACAGGAGACTGGGAACAGAAAGAATCTCATTGGGATGCCACAAAGAAATATCAGCCTTGTCCCTATTTCCAATCTTTTTTTGCAAAAAAATAGCTGAGATACAGAAACCTGGTGCAGAATTTGTCCCCAGCTGATCCCTGCAGAAACAGCCACATGTGGGGCTCCAGCCCCATTTTATTCCTGTGACAAATGCCAAAGTGTGGCACAAGCCCTGCCAAGACGTGGTGTCCTCCTGGACCCCCAGGCATCCCTGCCCAAGGGTTTAGAACAGGATAAACTCATTCCTCTGTGAGCTCATTCCTGCTTCCTTCAATGACACTCATTCCAAAAGAGGTTAAAATTCATCAGGGAACATGGGAATCTACCACTCTGCAGTGGGGGCAGATTTTTGGCCACAGGAGCAGGAGCCCTCTTGCCTATGAATAGGGATTAGTCCTGTGCCCCTGAGTTACTTAGGTCTAATTTTGGGGACTCCAGTGGTGTTACTGTGGATTTGCACCATCATAACAGAGAACAAAGTCTGATCCTAAATATAGGACAGCACGGTGGGAATTAGGGAAGGGCATTTTTTCTCACTGATGAAAAACCTACTCGTGGTTACAAGGGAAACAGGATGTCCAAGGTGTTTGTGGGACCCCTCCTGGGCCCCATCTTGGTGTCCCCATCCCCATTTCCCTTCTCTTCTTTTTTTTTTCCAGTCTGCACACAACTTTTAGTTTCCCGACCTGATGAAGAGAATATAAGTTCCTATTTACAGCTCATAGACAAATGTCTAATCCACGAGGTGAGTCGTGTCAGATCATCTAAAACTGTTGTTCTCATCACTTGGAAACTGTTTCCAAAGTGTCTGTTTATTTATATAAACCTTTCAGTTTCTAACACAAATATTTTTGGGGGGTATTAATAGTAATTCTGACAGAACAGGCTTGGAGCAGGCAGTAGCTCCAACGTGGTGCATGGAAATGTTGCTTCCCCCCACGCTGGTTTAATTGCCAAGGCCTGGAGCTGGGAAATTCATCTGGCTCGTGACAGCCCCATCAGCAGCTGGATGAGAGAAAGAATCCTGGGATTCCATCAGACAGACCCGGCCATCCCTTGGTGTTGCCTCCTCCTGTTCTGCACCACGTGGTCTTGGGATTTTGCAGCAGGGATTTCACATCTGTTCCTGCTCCCAGCCGATCTGCCTTGGCAGAGTGATGGCTTGGGATGGCCCAGGCTGTGCCACAGGGCTCTGGCACGCTCCTGCCTGGTGGCAGGGAGGGATGGCCAGTGTCCCTGGTGTCCTGCAGTGTCTCCTACCTACACTGACAGCACCTGGAAGAACAAGCTGCTTCCATCGCCTGCCCATGGGGCAGGGGTCAGGGAGCAGAAGTGGTGGAAGCTACAGCCTGTATCCAGAGAGCAAAGCCAAGAGGACATGGAACATTTCCCACCAGAGCCAGCCCATGTCCCAGGACCACCCTCTGCAGTGGCTCCAGCACAATCAGTGCCAGGAGAGAGCATCTCCTCCAGAGTGGTTCAGAGCAATCAAGTCAGGCACTAATTAGCCTCCAGATTGTCCTCTGGAGACTTCTGCTCCTCTCCAACAGAAACTCGGGTGTCTAAAGTTAGCAGTGGTGGCACGTGGGTGTCCCTGTCACCCACACCTCTTGCCTGGGGCTCTGGGAGCAGGTCTGTCCCTGCCAGGGTGACCTTTGCAGGCAGCCTGGGTGGGTGACAGGCCCACCCTGGGTGACCTCCTGCAGAGTCTGTCGGTGCCACCATCACAGCCAAGCTCTGCCCAGCCCCAGGAAGGGGAATAGGATGCAGGATGCCACAGGGCAGCTCAGCTTTCCAAATCCCAGCTTTGCCCACCCTGGCAGCATTTCTAGAGCCACATCCAGGTGACAAGTGTCACCACCCGTCAGGACTCACCATCAAACCCCTGCTCTGCCAAAAGGAGTTGGCAGCCTTGAGGCAGAGCTGGGCTGTCACTCTGGGACACAGGGAATGCTGCCAGAGCATTTTCTCCACCTGAGATGAGTAAATCCTGAAGGAAGACTCGTGTTTCCCCCTGGACTTTCTGATGGGGCTCAACTCACCCCATCACCTGCTCCAGCTGCTTTTCTTTACCCACACGCCCACATGCACATCCCTGCTCGCTTTGTCCAGAAGAATATTCATACATTTCCTATTTTTCTCTCTCTTTTTTTTTTTTTTTTTTTTTTTCTCTTTGGGCAGGCGTTTACAGAGATCCAGAAGAAGCGGCTGCTGTCATGGAAACAGCAGGTGCAGAAACTCTTTCGGTCTTTCCCTCGGAAATCCCTCCTGGAGCTGTCAGGATACCGGCAGCAGAGGAGGTGTGTGGGATTTTGGGAGGGGAGGGATGGATGCAGTGGCCAGAGCACAAGTGGGAACAATGCCTCCCAGAGGGAGGGGTGGGTTCTGCTGGTTCAGAGCTGTGTTTAGGGAAGGGAGAGGGTTGGAAAAGCTCCAGCAGTGAAATCCCAGGCACTGGCAGTGTCCTTGTGTGTGTGGTCACTGCCTTTCCCTCTGATCCCACCCTGTCTCCATGGCTCCAAACCCAGCATTTCCCAGCTGTGCAGCCTATCCCCAGTACTGGGCTCTTTCCCTGCTGCCCTTTGACGGTGGCATCAGCACTGGAGTTTCCTCAAAAAGCTGTCAAGTGGCAGAAAAAAAGGCTGGAAGCTTTCAGAGGGTGCAGAGCCAGAGGTGCAGCCAGAGAGCCAGGCAGGGCTGTGTTGGGAACACCACATTTGCTCACTTCCAAGGTGATGCTGGATTTCAGGTGATCCCAGAAAGCATAAGGGCTATGCCAAGAAAAGAGATTTTTAAATCTCTTTTAACAACATCACCTTTTGTTTAATTCTGCATTCATTCCCAGTTTGTTGCAAGTTCTTTATTCCCAAAAAAGGCAGCATTTTGGAGATAACTGGGAATATAGGAACTTTAAGGATGAGATTTTAGGAAAGCACCTTTAGCTCAACTCTCCCTAATAACACTTGGATTTCTTAGGTCATTCTAACCAAATTTTACAGAACTTGAGAAGTCTCAGAGGTGATAATATTTGTAAAAATGAACCTCCTGGAAGGGGAGAAGGAAAACCCAACAGCATAAGCTGAACTTAAATTAGACACTGGAGAATCCACTCCTGAAAAATTTCAAACAAATCAAGTTCCTGGGGCATTACCTGGATTCTTTTAGATTGTATTTAAGAACAGACCCATTTTGCAGGAGTAAAATAAGCTTTAATGAAAACCAGTGTGGATGTGAGAACTGCAGAAGGGCAGGAAGGCCACTGGCAGATGGGAAGAAGAGAGGATGCTGCACACACAGACTGCCTCCTTCCCACTGCCTGTGCAGGATGGAGGGGTGGGATGGAAGGCTCAGGATCCCCCTCCCAGGGGTCGGTGTGTCACCCTGGGTGGGATGGGAGGCTCAGGACCCCCTCCCAGGGGTCGGTGTGTCACCCTGGGTGGGATGGGAGGCTCAGGACCTCCTCCCAGGGGTCGGTGTGTCACCCTGGGTGGGATGGGAGGCTCAGGATCCCTCCCAGGGGTCGGTGTGTCACCCTGGGTGGGATGGGAGGCTCAGGATCCCTGCCAGGGGTCAGTGTGTCACCCTGGGTGGGATGGGAGGCTCAGGACCCCCTCCCAGGGGTCGGTGTGTCACCCTGGGTGGGATGGGAGGCTCAGGACCCCCTCCCAGGGGTTGGTGTGTCACCCTGGTGCTCTCTCTCTGCACAGCCGAGGTTTTGGCCAGTCCAACTCCCTCCCGACAGCCGGATCCGCAGGGGCAGGGCTGGCCCGGAGGAACCCCCGCCAGTTCCAGATCCCCTCCCGAAACCTCCCCACGGCCAGGCTGGGGCTGCTGGGCCCCACGGGGCTGCTGGGCACCCCCCAGCGCAGCCCTGCTGCCAGCCCTGCCATCCTCAAGCAAGGCAGACAGGTTGGTTGACATTCGCAGCATTTCTAGTTCTTCCATCCCTTCCCCACGATTTTCCTTCTCTAACTTGTCCAGATCCCCAGTTTTTTCCCACTCTTCGAGCAGTTTGGGTTGCTCTCCCCTCTGTGCAGTGGGATGTGGAAATGGGAGAAGTGGGAGGGGGATAAACCAAGCAGCAGAGGGGGAAAAACTCAGTCCTTAAAGTGGCTTATAAAATAGGGAGAGGGGATTTTGACAAGAACGGATAGTGATAGGAGAAAGGGGAGGGTTTAAAATTGGCAGAAGGGAGACTTAGATGAGATACTGGGAAGGAATTCTTCTGAGGGTGGGGAGGCCCTGGCACAGGGTGCCCACAGAAGCTCTGGCTGTTCCTGGATCCCTGGAAGTGTCCAAAGCCAGGCTGGACAAGGCTTGGAGCAGCCTGGGACAGTGGAAGGTGTCCCTGCCCATGGCAGGGTGTTGTTACAAGATTACCTCTAAGGTCCCTTCCAACCCAAACCATCCTGTGATTCTACAAGCCCGAAGTGGTTATAAACCCATGGCACAGAGGGCTTTGCTTTGCATCCCACCCTCTGTGTTTGCTCCCCGCAGAACCTGTGGTTTGCCAACCCTGGGGGCAGTAACAGCATGCCCAGCCGGAGCCACAGCTCGGTGCAGAGGACGCGCTCGCTGCCCGTCCACACGTCCCCGCAGACCATGCTGATGTTTCAGCAGCCAGGTAGGCAGCAGAGGTGCTTTTCCATTTACCCACAGCCAGGTGAGGTGAGGGGAGGTGAGAGGAGCTGCGTGAGCCTCCCCACAGGCACATGGCTCGTGCTGGCACAGCGTGCTCCCACTGCTGGGGTATCTCTGAATTCCTGGGTTAACCACAGACATCACTGGAGGGATTTTTGACCCTGTGTTGTGCCGTCTTGACTCTGTTACAGTGCTGGTGCCTTGCCTAGCTCACTTCTGAGGGGCTCATGGCAGGAGGGAAGGTAGCTCATCCATCACTTTTTCCTCACGGATGGACACGGAGCCCCGGTGCGGAAGGACTGCCTTCATGCACTCAAGGGAAATTCTTTCCACAGTGCGTGTGAAGGGAAGTGGTGCCGTGTCAGTGCTTCCTTCCCCAGCACTGCCAAAGTGCTCCTGTGTAGAGGAGCATCCTCTGATTCAGGGAGGATCCCGCTGACCTTGGACCCTGGACCTGGAGCATCCTGGCCCTGAGGAAGCCTGTTTGTGTATCCCTTCCTTAGCCTTTGAGCCTGCCTTTTCCCACCAACACACCACAGCCATTTACACCTCGGGACAGGGAACCCATCCCCCAGAAAACTCAACCTCATCCCTACACTCCTGCAGGTTTGGGCTGGCCTCACACACTGCTGGTGTTAAACTGCAGCATTTGGGCAGCAAATGTTCCGTGCAGCAGGAGCAGCAGCTGTTCCTGGGTATTGATTAAACACCGGGACAAGGGCACATTTCTCAGGCCTTGGAGAAGAATAAATGGGTTTCTCTTCTCGCATCAGCCTGTGGTGGATGAGGGCGCAGGAGGATTGGGGAGCCAAAGACGTGGGTTAAGTCACAAGGAAAATAAGCAATGATGTGATTCTGGCCTCACAAACCACTGTTTGCCAGGCTGTGGGGGGACCTCAACCCTCCTGGATCTCATCCCATGTTCCTGTGAGCCAGTGGAAAGAGGGAGATGCCGTCCAGCACAGTAGCACAAGCTGTGTTTGCAGGTTTTGCTGCAGGGTGGAGAAAGTTTGCTGCTGTTTAGATTAGGACGAGGGTGTTGGAACACTCCAAACTTCATGTGTGTGTCCCCTTTTTTGTGTTCACCCCCCCCAGGGATGTGGCAGCGATGATGTGGGAGCCAAGCTGGTCCTAGAGAAGCCAGACAGTGTCTCTGCTGGTCTGTGCTGCCATCCCATGCCTGCATGGACAGCATCCATCCCCAGAAGATGACCAGGGCTGCCCCCTCCCTGGGTGGGGTTCTGCTCTTGCTCCAGCTGCCCCTTACAGCTCTTATTGGCACCTGAACCCCCTCAGATTCGTCCCTTATGGGTAACAGGGGGTGACGACTGCTTTTGTGGGTGTGTTTTGCTGAAGATGATTTTACTGGGAGTCCTGTCAGACCGTCCTGGGGCATTTTTCAGATGGTTTTCCCACACAGAGCAGGCAGGCAGGGTCCCTGCAGGTTCCCTGACCAGGATGTCCTGTTCCCTTTGTCCCTGCAGAGTTCCAGGTGCCGGTGACTGAACCTGACATCAACAACAGGCTGGAGTCCCTGTGCCTGAGCATGACGGAGCACGCACTCAGCGGTGAGCATTCCCTCCTCCTGGGGCTCTTCCAGCACGTCCACACTGCCTCTGCTGAGCCCCCCAGCACCTGCCCCTGCCCCGTGCCCCCCAAAAGCTGGGACAGGCTGTGGCTGTGAGCGCGGGACGGCGGCGGGGCCGGATGCAGGGATGCTCCCGGGGATGCTCCCGGGCGTGTCCAGGTGGGAATATTGGCTTCTCTCGGCGAGGTGGCCGGGGGCAGGGGGTAAAGCTGAACGCAGGGATCGCACCAGCACTAGTGGAGTCTGTGCTAATTAGCCACTCGTCAGCTTGCTAATGATAATTAGTGTTAGCTCGCTACTCTCGTTAGCTCTCGATAAAGCCCCTGCCGCCGGCGCGCTCGGATGGGTCACTGGCTTTGGAGTGTTGTGCCCTTCTGCCACTGGATCCCTCGTTTGGCTGGGGGTGCCCCACGGCTGGGGGCTAAATCCCTGCCAGGCACTGTGCCAGGGGCTGTGCCAGGGGCTGTGCTGGGCGCCGTGCCCTGGGGCTGGCAGTCCAAGCACAGCCAGCGGATAAAGGGGCACGGGGAGGGAGGAGGACCGTGGCGAAAACAAGCAGGGAAGATGGAAAAAAAGCAGCAGCAGAGTGATGGAGAGGCTGGTGCAGCACAAAGCACCGGCACCAGAAGCTCCCAGTGTCCCTTGCCGACGCTCTGGACCCCCAAGCACGAGGGATGACCCCAGCAATGGGATGAGCACGGCCGCCAGCATCGCCCGGATTCCCGAATTTCTCGCTGCGGAAATCCTGGACTGTGACGGATGGGTGAGGACAGGAGCCCTCGGAGAGGACAAGTGCCACCAGGAGCCCTCGGGGAGGACGAGTGCCACCAGGCTCCCTGCAGATGCAACAGCCCTTCCCGGGGAGAGGAGCAGGAGAACAAGGACTGTGGGAAGCAGCAGGGCCCTGGCAGCATCCCTGGCTGGGAAAACAAGGACACTTCTGTCACCCGAAGCGTTTCTCCAGCGTGTGCCCAGCCGAGGCTTAGCTGTCTTGTTCCTCTGCAGGGTACTGTTCCTCCAAGTTATTTTTTCCAGGTCGCATTCCCCGAGCCTCTCCAAACCGGTCGTGCTATAAATAGCTCTTAAAAAAATAAACCTTTCGGGGGAGAAAAAAAAAAAAAAAAAAAAAAAAAAGGCGTAACAAACCTGTTTGTTTTTAGTGTCAAGGAGGGAGGTGGCTGTGGTGCCCCAAGTGGTAACAGGGAATTCTCTGTTCCACAGCATTCTGGGAGCTGCCTCCTGCCACTCTCCATCCCGGGGATGGGGTTTGGGATGGGGGACAGGGGGTGGGATCAGGGCTGGAGGGTTGGAAGTGCTGCTGGGTGCTGATTTCTGCCCCTGGGGGTGGGGACAGGGGGCTGCTGGTACCGGGGTCAGTTGTGAGGCTTTGGGGTGGGTCATGAACCCCTCAGTCCTGGGATTGGGCTGGGGCTGGATGCAGCCCTGCTGTCACAGGGTGCTGGGAACAGGGGCTCTGGGGAGACAGAAAGGACTCCTGGGGGCTTTTTGTCCTTCCATGATCCTCAGATGGAGGGAAATTTTGCATCCTCTGCGATGCAGGTATTGCAGGGCTGGGTGAACAGTGGGCAAGGCAGCCCCTGGGACCAGCTCTGTCCCTGTCCCTTGACTCCTGGTCAGGGGCACGTGAACTTGTCCCACTGTAGGAGAGTCCCAGACTGTCACCTACCTTGTGACGAGCCCAGGCTGCCCAGAACCCCCCTGTGCTCCTGGGAAAGCAGTTGTGGGGTTGTGGCAGAAGGCCTGGACCACTGTTGGGACAGCAACTTGGGGAAGCTGCTGTGGGGTGGGGACAGTTGGTGGCACAGAGGGACCAGCAGAGCATTGACACCCCAAAACCCCTCTGCACCCCTTGGGGAGATGGGAGGTGACGAGGGTGGCCCTCGTCTGTAGGGACTGAGGCTTGGGGCTGCTCTGGGGGATCCATCCTCCAAACCCCCAGTTTGGGGGCTACCAGTGCTCACTGGGGCTGCTCCTAATCCTCCTTTCCTGCTTGCAGATGGTGTCGACAGAACCTCCACGATCTAGAAGGCGTCGCCAGGGGGACGCTGGCCGGGACAACAACAACTGCTGCGGGTCCAGCGGCGAGGTCGGGGCTTGAGGGAGCCTCAGCATAGCTTGCATCCTTTCTCCTCTCTCCTCTCCTCTCCTCTCTCTCTCTCTCTCTCTCCTGTTTTAATTTTGTGAATGTGTAGATTGTCCTTGTGAACATATCATTAGACTTGGAATTTGTGTTGTCATTTATTACATCCATGCTAAGGGGGGGGGGGGGGGGGGGAAAGAGGGAAAAAAAAAAAAACAAAAAGAAGAAATCTCAGCGACGATGATGAAGCAGCATGGGGAGGTTGGGGGGGACATGGAGGAGGAGGAGGAGAGTGCTGACAACGGAGGGTTCACCAGAGCACCGTGGGCAAACCTTGTTCCTGGAGGAGGATACCAAGGAGCACGGAACACCACGTGGGGTGTGTGACCAAAATCCCTTTGGGGAGGGTTTGCCTGCCCTGCCAGGGCTCCGGGGCAGTCCCATCTCTCGAGTTTCACCTCGTTCGGGTATGGACTGACCCGGCGAGCCCAGATTGAAACAGAAATAATAAAATAACCCCAAAATTCCCTTTCAGTTTAGCCAAGAGATCTGTGGTGTGGAGGCAGCGTTGTGCTCAGGGCAGTGGAGGGTCAGTGCCATCCCTGTGCCCTGCTAGGACCAGGATGCAGGATGGAGCAGGGACATCTCACCCAGAGGAGGGTCCCGGGGGGAGCCTGCAAATTCAGGGACACTGGGAGAGTTGCAGTGTCTGTGCAGGTACTGGGAAGCTGCTGCATCCTGGCTCCACACATCTGGCCCAGCCTGCCCAAAATCCAGCTGTAAGGGCCTTTAACAGCATGGCCAACGAGGGATGAAGGAGCCCCCAAATAAAACCCGAGCTACAAAGGGCACCAAGATGCAGCTTCACGGCCTTGTTTTCTTGGCATTAAGCACGTGCCAGGCAGGAGATGGGGGTGGCTGTGGCTGGGGCTCCCCTCACCTGCCACTGCTTTTTATAACAGGAGCTGAATTTGGTGTTAAATTGGTAAATCTGACCCGGCACTGCTCAGACCTGCAGTGATGCTCCCGCTGTTCCTGAAGCTGCTCCGAGTCCTTTGATGGTCTAATAACAAATCTGAAATGAGTTAATTGAGCTGGTGGGTTGCAGCAATATTTCCAAACTGGGCTGTGAGGACATGGGCAGCGTTGTGTGCCAGGATCAGAGGGAGCAGGGCTCAGGGGGAGCCCGAGCACGGGCAGGGCTGGGAGATGTGTGAATCCTTTTGTCATGCAGTGTTTTTAAGTTGTTTTTCTAAAAAAAAACCTTATATATATTATTATATATATATATATACATATATATATATACACACCAAAACCCAAGTGCCAAATGCATTGTTTTATGTTTGCTGTTCCTTGGTGTCCTGCTTCCCGGCAGACAGGAGGGTGGGGGGGGTGATGGGGAGGGTGGAGAAGGGAAAACCTGAAGGCCAGGGAGGTTGGGAAGAGGTGTGAGGAGGTGAAGGTGAAGCGGGGTCGGCGCTGGGGACCTGGGTCACCCCCGAGCACCCCCAGCTTGTGAGGTGTGAGTGGAACCACCGTAGCAGGAGCCTCCCTCAGGGAGACTCCAGTGTATTTACAGAGCTGAAATTCTATTTATTCCTTCGCTGACTATGGACACGGAGGTTTTCTGATTGTTCAGAGAGATTATTTTGGATATTTTACCTATTAACTTGCTATGGCTGGGAACCATGATAATGTCTGTTATTAACAACCACCAAATAATTCAATTGTTTTATCCTTTTGATGTTTGAAAAAAGAACAAAAAGCTTATTTTCCATTGACAGTGTAGAGGTTAATAACGACTTAGTTGTGTTTGCTGTTTCTTGTTTCGTTCTTTTGAGTAAAAACAACAAAAAAAGTGGCTTCAGTTCGGGAAGTGCTGCCTGGCTCTGGCTGCCGGTGCTAAGTGCGGGCGGCAGAGCTCCAGGGAAAGAAACTTAAAAGGGAAAGAAAAAAAAAAAAAAAAAAAAGCTTGAATCCTAAAAGAAATAAAAGTTATTTATAGAAAGAAAAAAGAAAAAATGAAAAAAAAAAAACAACAAAAACCAACAGTTGCATGAGTGAGGCTGTGAAGTCAAATATTCAGTAATAAAGCGGCAGTGCCTTTCTTTTTTGTATCCCCCGCTCGCCCCGCTGACACTGTCCTGTCGGAGATTTTGTCCCCTCGCTGTCCTGTCGGAGATGTCGCCGCCGCGGGGTCCTGGCTGTGGGGTGGGCAAGTCCCCCCCTCCCGCTGCTCGCCCAGCTCCAGCCCCGGGCTCCCCCAGCGCTGTCGGGGATTTTTTTCCTGGTGCTGTTGTCCCCGAGCCCCGGGGAGCCCGGCCAGCCCAGCACACACAAAGTGGCCTTGGGCGATGCGACACCCACGGGGACACCGCCCTTGTCCCTTCAGTGTCACCCCCACCCCAGGGACAAGCCCCGAGCTCGGCTGGGCTGGGCTGGGCTCAGCAAAACCCTCGGAGGGGTTTAGGAGCGGGTCGGGCAGCGTCCAGCAGGAAAATCCCGAGCTGTGATTAAAGCCCGCGAGTTGGGTCAGCACTTAGGGAAGCGATTTCTGTTGTCACCTTTTCTCCATTGTTCGGGTTTGGCTTTCGGAATGTGCCTGATGGAAAAGTGGGTCCCGCAGACGTCTATAATTTGCACACAGCGACGATAACACTAAAGTTGATTTTATACGAGTCATCAGAGTTTGCAAAAGTGAGTTTTATTTTTTGTATTCCTTTATCTTTACTTAAAGGTGAATGTGTATTCCTCTGGGAGGAATAGGAAGAAAAAAAAAAAAAAGAAAAATACATTAAAAAAACAGGAATGTTAATAATGTTAAACAGAATACTTCCTCCCTTATTAATATATATAACCCTGATGTATTTATGCCTATTGTAAGCTGACTTTAAAGAGCTTTGACCTCTCTTCTGTTGCATGCCGTTCCCGGGCAGCCTCTCCTTGTCCATGCATGCCTTTTGTCCTGGTTTTTCTGTACAAAGTTAGTGCACAAAAGAACTATTTTTGCCTAGTTAATGTTGCCGAGCAATGCCTATTTTTTAAATTTTAATTTCCTTTTTTTTTTTTTTCGGTCATATATGGCAATAGCATGTTTGTTACATGTAAAAGCTTCCCGATATAAAGAAATACTAATGTTTGGAGATGCCAGTCTTTGCAAGTGTACAGTTTTCCAATGTTGTTCCCAGTGAAACACCCTCGTGATTTCCACTTGCTCCGATGTATTTATTACTCATTTCCTCCCGTGTAACTAGGAACCATGGCTATATTTCATATCTGCTATATTGAAAGTGAAGGGAGATGATTAATACAAGGTTTTGTAACACTGGGGTGTGGCGCCTCCTTATTTATCCCCTTTTTGGCAGGTGGCTTCGGAGTCCTTAACACACACACACACACACTAAAAGAAAAATCGGAATTCAATAGATACTCGTCCCGTGGGCGAGAGGGGAGGAGCCCTCCACAGTTCCCCAGGGGGTTGGGGATCTTTATTTAAGGCCTGTGGCAGAGCTTCCAAATCCCTGGCATTCCCCACGCAGCTGCCTCGCTGTCCCTTTGGGATGCCCATGCCCCTGGAGCTGTTTAGGTATCGGATTTTCCTTTGAAATCTGCATGGTTTGGGGCTGGAGCAGCTCAGAGGCTGCAGAGGCTTGGCCCAGAGCCTCAGCCTGTGTGTGGAGATTTTTGGGGTGGGATTTTAAGGCTGGACTCTTTCTGGGCTTAAAACTTGGACATTTCAGACGCTCCTGGGGCTGGGTCAGGCAGGGAAGGGCACTCAGAGCTGGGGCTCTGGATACTCGGCTGGGGAAAGTGCCAAGGGCAGGACCTTGTGCCCCTGCTTTTTCCTTATTTTCTCAAGCTGAGCCTCCACATGTCCAGGCTGATCAAGGCCAGCTCTGCAGGCTGTTCTCTGCCTCATCAGCCTGGCCATTCCTGCACTCAGGTCCAGGGATCCCCTCCAGAGATATCCTGGGTGTCCTGGACCCTGCTCACTGTCCCTCCACAGGCACTGGGGTGGCTCAGGTCCCCCATGAGGAGCAGAACTTGCAAACACGGAGTTTATTCAGGTGGTTTGAACACTTTATCTGCTGCTTCTCCTCGGATGAGTCTCCTGGTGAACTCTGCAAATGCTGATGGTGCCCAAATCCCAAAACCATGTCCTCAAGTTCCTTCTATTTAGGATGCTCCCAAGCATCTTGGGCCAGGCCACCCCAGAAGGGAAATATTGACCATAGTTCAGTCCCACCTGAATTTCCCTGTCCATGAGGGCATCCACAGACACAGCTGACCTTGGCTCCCTGCACTTGTGGGGAATTGGCTTCCCAACACAGCTCAAACCTAAATCCCAAAAAAAGCCATTTCCTTCCATGAGCAGTTTGCCTTTCCAGGTCCCTGTGTTGCTGTTGGGGTCTCACAGCGCAGAGAATGGAAAGAAAAAGGAAAAAGCAGAAAAACCTGGGATGGAAAATGGATTTGGAAGGGCTGAAAAGGCTCCAAGGAAAGTCCATGGCAGCCACGTTTTAGGGAGAGTCTGTTGGTCCAACTGCCTGGCAAAAGGAGAGAGGCTTAAAAAGGGAAAAACAGGAGGGGAAAAAAATAATTTTCATGCTTCCAGAAGCTGTTGGATGAATCCATTCTGGACATTCCTGTTGGTGCACCCAGACTCCACCACACCTGAGCCCTGTCCAGCCTGGGGAAATCGAGTCCCCTTCTGCCCAGCAGAGGCTGCAGCCCATGTCCAGCTGGGAGCAAAGCCAGGGGCTGGTGGCTGCTCTTTCAGCAGCTTCTGGGCTGTCATCAGCCCAGCAGGAGCTGGATAACCCCACATTTGTTAACATGATATTTTATTCCATGTCTACCTATTCCAAAAGGTGATGAAGAAGCAGCCCCAGCCCTGGAGCCAGGCCCCTTCCAAGGGGATGCTCCTGTCCCTCTACCTGACCCTTGGTTCTCAGTGTGGGGACAAATTCCTCATATTTAACAGCAAGGGGAATATCCCAGGGAACAACCTATCAGTGGCAGCAGGCAGGGATTTCCCACTCCAGGGAAGTTTTTATGCAAGATGGAGAGGGCTTTTCCAGCAGAGCTCCTCGGGATCAAGGAATAATTAATTCCCCACGTTTACTGGCTGCAGCTGCTCCA